TTTTTTTTTTTTTCACAGGTACTAACTCACGGTCTGATGCAGGCCAAATGGGAAATGACATCCGGCAAAAGGTGGCGCTGAGCAGCTGGACGAAGAAATATGTCGTGGTTGAAATCCCACCCTACTGCGGGCAGAGAAGAGGGGAGGACGACGGGGAGGTAGAGGGAAGTAAGGAGGACTCGTTAGGGGAGAGCTGGTCTCCGATGATCCCCAGCAGTGAGAGAGACAGTGGAGAGGCCATGGACTGCTCGAGCAGCCCGGAGGACGAGCAGGAATGGGAACGGGGGACAAACACATGCCCAATGTAATGCACCCGCGCAAAATGCGTCAACACACTGAGGTGGTGGAAAAGAAAGCGGGGAGGACTCTGACTCCACAGAGGCAGCCGAAAACTGCTTTTAAAAGTAGACTGGACACATTTAAAAAATTTTTGGAGAATAAAAGATAAAAGGAAAAATCACTTGATTGTGATCTTTCAAGTGAATGTATCACCTGTTGACTCAATCAAGCACACTTGATTTGGATAAATAATTATTTTTCAAAGTTTCCACCCAGGTGTGAAAGTCAGCAATAGCACAAAAAGCTTTTTATCAACACAACGGACCCTCTGCATAGAGATTATTTTTCTGAAAAGGTTGTTTGTATTTAATATTGTGAGATGTAGATTTTTTTCTTTTTCCTCTAGGCAGTGTTTTGTCTATGAGGAGAGGTATTGAAGAGCCATTGTGTTGTGTTTAGGTTTTGATACTTTTTGTGTTCATTGAGAAACAAATGCTTATACTGAATCAAAAACCCCCGCATCAGATTTACAAGACCGTACGCTGATATTCAGATGAGAACGTGCCTAAAAGCATTCACGAGACAAATGTTTAATCTCTCCCCCAGGAGAAAAAGGGTGACAGAGTTAAGGGTTTGTCAGTGATTTCTCTGTGAAATTGGGAAAAGGGTGGTTCCTCACTGCTCATTCCTGCCAATTTAAAAAAACAACCTGGTGTCAGGCGACTGAAATCTTTCAGGAACATTTCTTGTTCTTTTGACATTTTTTAGCCCGCTAACTTTAAAGTACAGAAAAAAGAGGAGAGATAAACTAGTCAAACGAAAGCCAGCCAGTCTAAGCATTTTTTATTTCTACCCTCTGTAGGCAAACATAGATATTGTAATAAATGTCTTGTACATCTGTCAGGCCAGATTTCCAAAACAGTCCCTCCAAAAAAGAAGCAAGCCAAAACACAGGTTATTTACTTGGATGTGTTCCAACTCAAGACAAGTTTAAAGCCACACGATGCAAATTTTAAAGAGCAAAACTTAAATAAAAAGCCAAATCTGAGATCATACCACCACAAAGACTGAAAATCCTTCCATGCTATGCACTGAATTATCCCTGGATTCAGAAGGATATCTGGATCTAGCTTCATATACATCTCAAAAATATATCACAACTCTGTCTCCCAGTTTTGATCATGTAAAGTTTTGATGCAAAGTTTCCAGTTTTTCGCCATCTCTCGCTCTAGATTTGTATGTACTCCAAAAATTAATCACTCCTGAGTTTGCCAAGTCTCACCACTGATTTTTTTTTTTAAAAAAGAAGGGAAATAAGAAGATAAAATAATAATATTAAATAATCCGTCCATAATATTTGAGTGCTTCTACTAGTAGACGAACCATCCAGTGTGTGACGGGTTTGAAGTAACAACCTGCTTCCCACTTTACTCTTCTGATTAAGTATTACAGGATGAAGCTACTGAAGCATAATTAAATCCACTTTAAGGTTGATAATTGTAGCAAATGTTGGTAAACTATAGAAAGACGGGTCTTACGTCAGACTTATAAAAAAAAAAACAGGATTACTGTAAGTCATACAAACAGTGTTATCAAACAGTCCTTACAGATTTGTGCGTTGTCAGAAACTTTTCATGGTGGTATTGTTTTAACATTGCTGATACTGAAATCACTTTACTTAAAGGACTCAGTTGATGATTGGGTGTAAATATGTTTTCCAGTTTAACGTCATAACCTGGAGTTTCAAAGTCTTTCATGGTGACTTTCTGCTCTAGTGGAGGGAAAACATTTAGGCAACAGGAAGTGCCGCAAATAAATGCAGTTGTTATTTGGTAAAACTGAATAATTACAGCGTACAGTACAGATTTTTTTAAAGCTGCTAACATTTGGTTCGCTTTGTTTAATGAACTATGAGACCCTGTGACTTGTTGTACTTTACACTCCACTGAATGTCTGATTTGAATCAGTCGTCTTTAGTTTTTCCATCTCCACCTTAATGAGTATTAAAATCCTTGTAAATGTCTATCCGAACAGCTCTGTGTACAAACTAAATGGCTCTTAAAGATTAGATTCATAGTGTTGAACATCAACGCCGATATTTTTTCCTTGTGTGGCTTTTGTTGCGTTCTGCTGATCTCAGTCTGATCCCTCTAATAAGAACTAAAATGCACACATAGAGTGATATATACAGTCCTGTCCTATCACTACTCCTCTATGCAACTTTTATCACAGTTTTACAGGATAAAAGATCTAATTTCATATTTATATTGAAAAAAGTAATGTCTTACCTTTGTATATTTGTGTAAAATGTTTGTGGTACTTGCCTTGTTGAATACAGATTAAGATGTTTTTTGTTTTTCTGATTGAATAACAAGTTTGCCTGAGTTTTTCTTGTCTTACTTCAGGATGACTCCCGTCACCCTCAGAACTCACACTTCAGATTCCAGAGCCTATTTTAGCTTTCAGAAAAGATCAACCAGTCAGTCTTTAATCGGTTTATAATCACCAATAACCCTAACAAGCATCACTGAGTTGGAGGAGGAAGCTAGAGTACCTGAAGCTACACGGGCAGCATGGGAACATTGAAACTCTAGACAGATTCAAACCCAGGAACCTTCTTGTTGTGAGACATTCGTGCTGACCACTGCACCATCCTAAGCGACATCTGTTTCTAAAATAAATGAAACTTCCCAATTTGATTTCCATGCCCGGAGACTGAAGACAAGCGATGCCAAAAGATGGTTAGTTTAATTCTCATGAGTCATATATTTAAATAAAGCAGTTCTGACACTTTCCAAAATCCTTCAAGTCTAATCTGGTTACATTTCTTTCAGTTTACTGAAATGTATTTATTGTAACAGCCGTCCATCTGCAGGTTATCCAGTTCAGGGTCATAGGCCGAGAGACTTATCCCAGCTTCACAGGGTGGGAGGCGGGGTACGGCCTGCAGAGGTCGCCTTTCTGTTTTATGACCAGTAACATTCAATAAAATTCAAATCAAACTTAATCCTCGATTGACTGTTTGTAAAAATGTAACCTAGAGGTTTAAACATACCACAGTTCCTACTTTAGTTTGCAGTTGTAAGAAGTTATTTAAAACATACCTAATTTATAATCAAATGATTTCCAGCTTATAAAAACACTGACATTGTGCTTGAAAATGTAAAAACAACAACATGGGAGGGGAGGGGGGTGCAGGGATTACTGCTTTTGTTAGAGCCAGACAATCTCTTCTTCTACCCTCTGACGGCCCATCAGTTTTTTGGTACTTCTTTGGTTTACCTCCAGCACAAGTAACTTTGATGTTTAATGGAAACACCAGACACCGATCTAATCTCTGATAGGGCTGAGATGTGTTCAAAGATGTGTTCAAGGACCAAGTTCAAATGCAGAGCAACTTTATTTACTTTTCAAATTTGCAGTTTGGGCTCTGCAGGGAAAAACTTATCAGGATTAAATTAACATAAGTTACATGTAATAAGGCAATGAATATGAAATTGGTCATTTAGGAAAAACAACACGGTTGAAGATGAAGAGAGAAGAATGGCAGGTAGAAAGTCTCTTTAGCTTTTCATTAGCCTCTCATTAAGGCTGATGGATTAACACATAAAGCTACGTTTCATGAGTCTTTAAGGTGATTTGAAACCAGTGATTAAAAGGACTGAAGCTAGCATTAGTACTGCAGTCTGATTACAGACTGTATATGAAAGATTGACATATGCTTCAGGTCTGAATTTTAAGCCATTGGAGAAGTGCTTTAAACCTGCATTCTTTTTAAAAGCCAGTAGAGGGCGACTATAAAAAAAAGAACTCAGTTTTACTCGGTTTGTGACCTCAATAAACATTTCATAAACACTGAGTTTATGTCTCACTGAATAAATTTGTTCCTAGTTGGAGTAAAACAGATGTGTTATACGGGGCATGTTTGAGGAGTTGATGAGTTTATTTCCACCCTTTACTCACCACAGCTGGCTTAAAAAAAGAAAAATAAACATAAAAAGATAAAACACCAACTTTCCACAATCCATCTTTTCCATGCAGCCTGTGTGGCGCCTGATGGAAACACATTAGCCGGGCCATAAACTTGACTGTAGTTTTATAATTCTGTACCACTCAGTCTAAATTTATGTGTATATGTAACATCACAAAAACAAAACCAATTATTAAGTTCTCCACACGGGCAGTGGTTGTTTAAAATAAACATTATAAGTGTGCTGTTTTCTGATGAGACTTGAGGCTGGAGCGCTGGGTGAAGCACTTCCCGCACAGCGAGCACTCGTAGGGCTTCTCCCCGCTGTGGACCACCGCGTGTCTGATGAGGTTGCACTGTTTGGTGAAGCTCCGGCCGCACTGCATGCAGCTGAACGGCTTCTCGCCCGTGTGACTCCTCAGGTGCTCTTTGAGCTGGCTGAACCTGGTGAAGCTTTTGTCGCAGTACGTGCAACTGAACCGCTTCTCGCCGAGCCCGGACCTCCAGGGCGTCCTCATCCTCCTCGCCAGGCTCAAACTGCCTCCAACTCTGTGTGTGGCGAAGGGGCCTGCGGGGTTCGGCCCAGTCCGGCTCTCGTCTGGATTACTCGTTTGAGTACAGCTCTGTAACTGTTGAGGAATCAAGGTGGGATCTGTGGAGTTAATCTGAGATGCAGAGTTTTGTCCTTCCTCTGACTGTGGCCTCTTACATCCCAAACTTCTGCCTCGTCTTTTCAGTCGTAAGGAACTCAGCACAACAGAATTTAATTTCCCAACAGAGTGAACTCTGGGTGCCACATCCTCCAAATGCAACAGGGCTGAAGATGCAAATGCAGCAGGAATCTGCTCAAACTGCTGCCCGGTGTACGGGACACCTGGGTCCCCCGTGTCTCTGCACACGCTGGATGGCCACAGCTGCCCCTCAGCTGTCTCTGTCACAAACGTGTGGGCTGAACCGAGTGGAGCTGCGTCCTCATCCGCCTCTTCCTCTTTCTCGTGTTTCACTATGAGTTCGATATCATTTTGGCCGCTGTTCAGCTGCTGTTCTGGGAAAATGCTGTAGCCGTCTACTTGGGAAACCAGATCTTCAGAGAGGGCCGGGTTTTCAGCCGAGTGGTAAAGCTCCACAAAGCTGTCGCCCTGGGCAGGTTTTGTTGTGTCGAAATACGGCTGATGCTCGGCTCCAGAGACTAAAGAGAGCACATTACCAGAGAGATGCCTTTAATAAAACCTTTAATCAGTTAGAGCAAAGGTGTCAAACATAAGGCCAAGTCTCCTGAGTCACCCCACTGGACAGCTTTGGAAAATGTAAAGGAGGGTGTAAATTTTTCATATATTTATTTTCATATATTTCTGTATTTTCATAAATTTGACAGCTTGCCCTACTATTAAAGCTCTTCCCTGTGGCTATCCATATTACACCAATGTAATTAAGTAATAATTAAACAATTAAATTAGAGAAAATCTCCTGTTTTTTTCACATTTTTTCCACAGTAAAACACATAAATGTGGACAAAAACTTTCTGCTTTATAACTACAGGACAGTCTGAACAATGATAATTTTACACATTTATTTCTTGCAACTCAATCCCAGAGTCAAGCTGATAGATTTATTTTATTAAGCAGAGCAGCATTTCTTTATCATATGTTGAAAGTAAAGGTAAAATTGTGCTTCTTTTTCCTCATATTGTGATATCTCAGGGATTAAATGGGCAGTTAAACCTCTTTGCACCAATAGAAAGGGAAGTTTCACTGGTCTGACCCACTTGGCCTCTGAGTTTGACATCCCTGATTTATAGTCGGCAAATAACAATTTGGCTCATTTGAAATTAATTTATAGTTGTAATTCTTATCAGATCGTATCCTGGGCTTTGAATTCAGTGCAATGCTGTTAAACTGCAAACCTAGACAATAATTTGTCTGTAAACTGAACCATGTGTGTAGCATCAGCTCTGGTGCACATTAGCACACATACATATTAATTTGTACTCAGACTCAGGCTTCTCATCTTATGACCTGTATATAAACAGTGCATTTCTTTACCTTTACAGCTTATCTGAGTAAAGTGAAGTATTCCTTGTGCCTGAACGAAAAGTTCCTCTTAAACATCACATTGTTTTATTTCTTCACTATTAAAGGTGTGGACTCACTCGGTCTGTCCTCTGCATCATTTTTCCACATATCCTCTTCTGCACACTCCTCTTTGATCCGTATGTGATCAGGCCCATTAGCAAGCTCCACGGCCTCAGCACACTGCAACAGCAGGCTCAGGGTTAGTGCTTAAATAAGATGACACATGCACTGCGTGGTCAAGCAAATGCATCAGTGCTTATATGCAAGTTGTGCTAGTAGAGCTCTAGCCCATCTACAATGAGGTTAAATAAGGTTAACATCACAAAGTTATAAAGTTTTGTACTTACGAGTCAATATAAAATAATTATTACATATATTCTAATTTACTTTCCCGTGTTTCTATCTTAAGGATATAGGTTTAAAAAAAAAAACTCCCTTAAAGCAACTGGTTCCTCGCTGAGCCTGGTTCTGCCAGAGGTTTCTTCCTGTTAAAACTGAGTTTTTCCTTCCCACTGTTGCCATTCATAGGGGGTCATATGATTGTTGGGTTTTTCTCTGTATATATTATTGTAGGGTCTACCTTATAATATAAAGCGCCTTGAGGCAACGGTTGTTGTGATTTGGCTGTATAAATAAAACTGAATTGAATTGAATTGAACTGAACCCAGACTGGGAGCTGGTTCCACAAGGGGATTGGGCTCTTCTAGTTAAAGGCTCTGTCTCTCACTCTCACTTCTGGATTTTCTATGGGATAATATGGTGCACTGGTATAATAGCCGTACCCTACCTGCTGGGGTTGATCTGGAGCCTGAGCTTCCACCGGTGTGTCCCAATGTGAGCTCTGAGTTTCCTTGTTGAGAACTACTTTGACCAGAGGAGAGAATCTCCCCGCTGATGGATTGTTAAACACTAAGAGAGAAGATCACACAAAACTGTCAGTTATAAACAACAAAGACGTGACTCCTCAGCATCTCTCAGGCAGGTGTCCCCACCTTTTCTCCTGGCCCTCATCCGGCTCTTCCTCAGCTCTGCCTCCATCACCTCACACTTGCTCTTCAGCAGGTCGATGTCCCGCCGGCTCTGGCTCACCTCCAGCCTGAGCACCGTGCAGCTCTGGTCCACACGCCGGTTTATCTCAGCTACAGCCGCCTTGGCCAGGACTTCCATGACGGACAGCAGCTGATTCTGGAAGTCGCAGCTCTCCATCTCTCACTGGATTCGGCTCCTTGTTACAGCACAAATAAACGTTTTAAGCTGCACACGTCTACGCGTGCTGTGTGTGAATCTGTGTGAAAGTATTAGAGCAGTGCATCCATCACCGAAGCACAGCGGCAGAAGTATCTGCAGGTTCTTCCGCGTATGCTAGAGGGACGCTTGTTTTTAGTACCTCTGTGATCCAGACAGACGGTCACGACTGAATCCTCCTAGAAAATTCATGCAAAAAACAACAAGCCGATAAATGCGTCTGTGCGTGTTTAAAAATGTAGTTTCCACCATTACAGGAAGTACTTAAACGACACACCACCAAACTCACTTTCAGCCACAGGTGACGTTGTGCTATTACCGTAATTATGACATACAAGCGCACTGCGCGTGTAGCAGGTGTGATTGCGGGTGACTGATTATTATTTATTTTAATAATAATCATTTATTATGATTATTTATTATTTATGTGTAACTCCAATTACAATATGCTGTAACCTAGCTACTACCTTTATAAACAGCCAGACAACTGACTTTTTTGCGAGATACAGATGTCTGACATATTACATGTGTAATATGACTTTTACATTTTGGAGGGCTCGTTTTTAGGCATGGTTTAGGTTGTCATGCCCATTTAGTGCAAAAATTAAAGTGATTGGGCCGCGAAAGCCACAAGGAAAGAAGCTCCTCCTTTCTCTGTAGTTTCAGTGTGCGTAGCATGGCTGATATGACCAAAGGAGCATTTTTCTGCTGTTTCAATACTTTTATTCTAAGAAGAGACTTAACCTTCCTGTAGCATTTATGAACACATCTGAAAAGAAAGAAAGAAAGGAGGCCATAAGAAATGTAACAGACAATTTAAGCAGTGAAAAAATTATGATAACAAAAAAAGAGAGAAAGAAAAACATCATTAACATTAGGTTACAGTTACTAATATAAACCACTCTCTGTCCAGGTTTTATCCCTAAGTTTTCGTCCAAACTTCGAGACACTCCACCTTAGATGAAACAGCTCACTGCAAATAAGCATTAAGTTGTTATGAGTGATCGGCTTCACCCTGTAATCAACTCTTATAGGATGGTGAGGATTATACTGGTCTTTATATTCTATCTTTTGGAAGAATGGTGATTGTCCAGTAGAGTTCATGAGACTTGTACAGTCAATCAGTGGGCATGCAGGGGCCCCAGCACCTTACTAACACACTTTTCCTTGTTTTTCCTTTAATTGGTCCTGTACGCTGTTTTTTTCTCTATAGTCTAATCATCACATAAAATTATTCTGAAAATTAAGGTAAAAATAAATAAATAAATAAAAACTATCATGGCGTGAATGATGCAGGAACACACAAAGGCAGGCTAACAGAGACAAAGGAGGGGTTATGTAAACCCACATGAGTAGGTATAATAGAAACACCAGGGTAAACAAGATGCAACTGAAACGAATTAGAACAAAAACAAAACAAGTTTAACTAATGACTAAGAAAACAAAAGAAAACAGAAAGTAACTAAATGGGGAATTCCACGACGAAGACAAAATCTTGAGAAGGCAAGAAGAAAAGAAACATAAGAAATCAAATCTAGATAATTTTAATAGATTGTTTTTTAAATAAAACACACAGTCTTAAACTGAGGCTAAACCAGCAAATATACACTAA